TGTGGGGCCTGTGAGTGAGGAGCGTCAGGTGGTCGCCTGGGGTCTGGTTGCCTGCGGACGCCCCGCCCCGCCCCGCGGTGCAGAGCGGCTGTGCTGTGTCAGACCGCACCGAGCTTCACCGCGGAGGCCCCAAATTAGTCATTTTGCTGTCATGCTTCCCAGACAGAAACGTGTCAAAAGCAGTTCATGAACAGAAAAACTCACGCGTAAGACTCACCAGACATATATGAAAATATTTCCTCCCATTCTGTGCATTGCCTTTTCACTTTTTATTGGTATCTTTGGCAGCACTAAAGTATTACATTTTGATTAAGTCCAATGTGTCTATATTATCCTTCGTTGCTTGTGCTTTTGGTGTCATGTCTAAGAAACCAAGTTCATGAATGTTTACTCCTGTTTACTCTTGCGAGCCTTATATTTTTAATTCTTACATTTAGATCTATGATCATTTTGAGTTAATTGTTGTGTATGTTGTTAGGTGTCCAACTGCAGGTGGTCTGCAGGTGAACGGTGACGCTGAGATGAGCTCGGCAAGCAGGATTGAGTTTAGAGAAGCAGAGGGCTACTGCTCGCTCAGGCGAGTAGCAAAACCTCCAAAGTTCTCATGGCCTTTATTGGGGAGTACAGCAAGTAACAATGGAGTACAGCAAGTGACAACGGTAAACAGGCATGCCTATGAGATCATCTGAGCTAAGTTATACATTAAACTATTAATTTCCAGTATTGTTCAAAGACCCTCTCAACCAGCAGCTGTGTACCCTCCCTTGTTCTTTCCATGCCCTCATGGACTATTTATCACCTCAAGGAAATTCTGCCTCTGAACAATAAATCTTGCGTGCAACACTTTGTTCTGACGTGGCCTGTCTGTTCTTGGCAGAACGTTCCTCTTTTAACTTCTCATTCCACTTGACCGGCTACACCAACTTCATTCATTTACATGTGGATATCCAGTTGTCCCACAGCGTTTTTTGGAAAGATTGTTCCTTCCCCATCAAATTGCATTGTCACCCTTGCTTAGCGGGGGGTGTGTTGTCCCAGGCAGAGGCGGGACTGGGGTTGGGCTAAACGTAGCGGGGCGGAGACGTGGGTAAGGTGTGTTAGGCAGGTGGGAAGTCACTGTAATCTCTGACTCTGCGAGGAACCTGCCTGGGAGACTGGGTTCCACCAGAGCGTCCCTGAGATCTTGAGTCCTTTGGAAAGGTAAGTGTGCCCCTAGTTTGTTGTGGCGAGGGCGGAAGACTGGATGGAGCTCTGAAGCATGGGCGTGGCTTTGACCCCAAACCTCCCCTGTGACAGGCATTTAAATCCTAAACCCATCCTGACCTGCATAGCAGGACCCTAAAGGATTTAACTGGGGAAATGCAACGTTGCCTCATTTGAGGCAGGATGAAGGTGGCTTCAGGGACTCTGCCAGAATTTAGAGGTAAATTTGGACAGGTGTTTACTATTTTGCTAAGGCAATGGCACATTAAGCTTTAAATGGATAAAATTTGTGGTACCCACATCATATTTTAGTTCATAGTTTACACCAGTGGTTCTCAACCTTGGCTGCACATTAGAATCACCTGGGAATCTTTTTAAAATCCTGATTTCTGGGTCTCATCCTCCGGAAATTCTGTTTCTTTGTTACTAATGTTGTGGCCCCACCCCATAACAAAGAAACAGAATTTCCGGAGGATGCCATAACAAAGAAACAGAATTTCCGGAGGATGAGGCCCAGAAATCAGGATTTTAAAAAGATTCCCAGGTGATTCTAATGTGCAGCCAAGGTTGAGAGCCACTGGTTTACACCCTTACATGAATCCAATATTTTAGGAGCTTAGCACCTGTTTTTGCAGAGATATATTGTGATAGTATTGGTTTTAAGTTATATTGGGTTTGTTGATATCTGGTAACTCAAGAAACCTCACAATTGTCAAGGAATCTGTAAACCCTTTGGCATATTTTAATCTTTTGGGTCCCCTTATCTATTCATGCACTGATCAGATAATTGTCAGTCAAATAAAATACCTCATGCTCCTTTGCTGGACTCTGGCCCATGATTGGAGATGGTTAAAGTCCAGTGCAAGAGAAAGAGACCAAGAAAGGCATGAGCCCTGCATCTGCCTGGTGCTCCCATCACTGTTACTTCCATTTCTCTCCACTGGGAATCTCAGCCCCTCTTATTATTTGGAGCAGCCATGAGTCACTTGGAGAATCTTGAGTCTTTTCCACATAAAACCACTGACAATAATGGTGTGATGGATGTATGTCATTGCTCTTTAACCAATGCTAATGGAAAGTTGAATACAAAGTGATCAGGAATCATGCTTCCTCTCTGTAAAAGTAAACTAAAATCTTATCTTGAAGTCCAAAAATTTTTTAAACCAATTGCACTCTCAGCTTTAAACAGATGTTAAACATTTTTAGTCATGACCCAAAGATGCATTCATTAACCTCAATTCTTGAAACACAACAGGTTTTACTTTTGTAGGAAACCTATGGAATGTCAAAAATATCTTATTTTTAGCAGTAACAAGGAATGTAAAACCTTATTTCATTCATTTGACAGATAACAAATATCTTTTATTGTCACAGTAAAAAAAAAAAAAAGGTCATGTCGACATAAGAACTTCCAAACCTGTAGAGAATATTTATAAGAGTTTATTTGAGACAAAACTGACTATTGCTGGAGGCAAGATCTCAAGTGCTCCCCAGAATGACAGTTTTCAGGTTTTTTTGCATCTGGAACCAAGGAGGGAATGTAAGGAATATTCAATGAAGGTGGGAGAGAGCAAGTGGGGGATTGGATTACAGGGGAGTTGACTACACTGTGCCCCTCTTGAGGGTGGTCACACTTCAGGGGTTCTCAAAAATAGGATTAATCTAGCATTTCAAAGGTATGTTAACTTAGACACATAAAAACAATGGACAGGGTTTGTGTAAGGCAAAGATAAACCTTTTACTTAAAAAGTTATATGCCTTCCCGTGACTACTGCAGTGACCTGCCCAGTTAGGAGTTTATGACCCAATCACTCTGTGAGATTACTTTCTATAGAACCCCCTTTTTGTTCACAGACAATTTTAGTAGTTATTGCTGCACACATAACAAATTATCCTAAATTTTAGTGGCTAGAAATAGCAAACATCTGTTATCTCCCAGATGTTCAGGTCAGAAATCCGGGAGTGTCTTACCTGAGTGGTTCCGGCCCAGGGTTTTTCATGAAACATTAAACAAGGTATTGACCAGGGCTGCAGTCATCTCAAGGCTCACCTAGTTGCTGGCAGGCCTCTTAGATCTGCTTCTAAGCTCAGTCATGGCCTCTGCACAGGCTGCCTCCCAGCGTTGAGAGAGGGCAGACAGGCAGTGATCTCCCAACACATCACTCCGCCATTTCTCTTCACTAGAAGCACACTCCAGGATCGGGGTTACACCAATGCATGGTTACCAGGAGGATGTCATTGGAGGCAGCTCAGAGGGTGTGATGGAGACACTGGTGCCTTCAGAGCTCTGGGTCTATTGACTTTTATAATGAATTGCAGCCTTGTTGTAATGTAGAAAATCTGAAGAGTCGCAGGAGAGCACATGGGTTGTTCTCTTACAGACTCTATTTTGATAGCAGAAATCATGGTTGTCTTTCTGCAGGCCATGGGGGATCAGGACCTACCAGGGGTTTTGGTGTCTGGATTTGAAGGGCCATCTGGTATATGTAAAGATCACGTTGGAGAGTTGCAGAAATACTTTAATCTCATTACCGTGCAAGACCTGCTAGAAAATAAAACACAAGTGGGTCCAAAGATCCAGGCTGTATATATCTGGAACAGAAAGCCAGCTATTGATCAGGAGCTCCTGCAGAGCCTGCCCGCCTTGAAGATTGTTGCCAACGCAGGAGCCGGTTTAGACCACCTGGACCTGAAGCTCATCGCCAGCTTTGGCGTGAAGGTGGCCAACACACCGCAGGCTGTTTCCAGTCCCACGGCAGACATGGGGATGGCCTTACTGCTGGCGGCAGCCCGGAGAGTGGTGGAAGGTAAATCATGTTGGAGATGCTGGTTTTTCTGAGAGATCAGATGGCAGACACTTATTAATACACTAGAGGCCCGATGCATGAAATTCGTGCAAGAGTAGGCCTTTCTTCCCCCAGCTGCTGGCACCGGCTTCCCTCTGGCAACCGGGACCTGGGCTTCCCTTGCAGCCCCGGCTTCATCCGGAAGGTTGTCCGGTCTAATTAGCATATGATGCTTTTATTATTATAGATGACAAATATAATTTTACCTTCAAACTTCAAATCCTTTCCTGACCCTGATTTCTTTACACTGCATCCAGGACTTGGTGGCACTTGGTATTTGGAGCCCCTCCTGGTCATTTGCAGCCCACTTAGTGCCCAGGCCCAGTCCCAGGCACAAGTAGTTCAGCAGTCTGTCTGCTGGCAGCCCCACCAAATGCTTCTCACTCACATAACAGGTGGGAAGTGTGTGTGTGTGCGCGCTAATTCAGCACCACTGGGAAATGCCAGGGGGTCATTCACTGACTGATCAGCATGCCGCCAGGGGGTGAAGGCCTCCATGTGAGTAGACAGAATCCCATCTGTCCACACACTGGATATCTCTGTAGGCATCCCCAGGAAAGGCAGGGTAGCAGCTCAACACTCGCCCAGCCTCCTGATGGAGCTTTTTGTGAAGGGGTTGAAGAGAGAGAAGCAAGATGTAGTCTCTTTCTGTTTCTGATGCTGATTCACACACATACATATGCAGTCACCCACACATACTCACAGTCCCACACACAGTTACAAACATATACAGTCACACATATACACACAACCATACACACTCACACATGTACACAGTCCCACACACACAGTTACACATGTACACACAGTCACACATACACGCAGCCATACACACATAGTCACACATATACAATCACACACACCCCAAAATCAAGTTTTTTCTTTTTTTAAAAATATTTTTTATTGATTTCAGAAAGGAAGGGAGACAGAGAGAGAGCTAGAAACATCAATGATGAGAGAGAATCATTGATCGGCTGTTTCCTGCATGGCCCCCCTGGGGATCGAGCCTGCAACCCGGGCATGTTCCCTGACCAGGAATTGAACTGTGACCTCCTGGTTCATAGGTTGATGCTCAACCACTGGGCCCAAAAACAATTTTAACCAAAAATTCTTCCTTGATGTGAAAAGAATTTCTCTTTTAAAGCATTCCACCAGGAAGTGCTGGTTTTGCTATGAGGACACTGCCATTTGTTCCCTTTGATTCCCTGCAGAAACGTTTGTTAGCTGTCACATAAAAATGCATGACAGCCATGGTCTGCCACCAGCATCTTATACCCTTGTGACTTTGGCAAAAGGTCCCAGGAAGGGTTGTGGGTTTCTGTGTGGTAACATCTCTACTCTCCACTGTCTTCTCATGTATCTTAGGTCACCAGTTGGCCACCTCACCAGATACAAAGAACTTTTCCACAAACTGGCTGGGCCAGGAAGTGACGGGGTCCACCCTGGGGATTATCGGCATGGGCAGTATTGGTTACAAGGTCGCTCAGCGGGCCCGGGCATTTGAAATGAACATTCTGTACCACAACAGGAAACGCAGGTGAGATTCAGAGTGGACTTGAGGTGAACGGAACAGAACGTACACCATCACTGCCTTGAATGTGGCTTGGATGTATGACTCCCCATGTTTCATAAGACTCCCTACTCTTTCTTCCAGAAAGTGGGATTGATTGTCCAGAAAGAGATCATGGTATTATTACGATTACCTAGAAATGTGACTGTGACTTGTTTCCATTAAAAAAATTCACCAGAAAGAGATTTTAACTCACCTATAATTGTTATTTTATTATTATTACTTCTCCAGTGATTTTTGATCATGGGAGATGCAGTCCATAACCACTGAGCAATTTGACTGGTTCCTTTAGTACTGAGCTATATGCTCACCCACTCACTTATTCAATCTGAAAGCCATTTCCTTCAGCCCAACACTCAGTCCTATTGATGCGTCTCCAAACAACCCTCCAACCAACCCAAGTTGTCTCTCACTTCAGCTACGCATACCCTAAGGGGCTGATGGCCTGCTCTTGAATGCCCAGTCCCCCCTGCAAATCAGCCAGAGGGTGGCCATTGTTCACCACCTTCCAGTGGCTTTCCATGACTGGAATTCCACATGGAATGGAATTCTGGCTGATGAGAAATTCATGGCGGCACAGTGAGCTGGGAGGTTTTATATCAGAGTTCATCCCCTTTCTCTTTTCTTTTTTAAAGGAGTTAATATTATTTATTTATTTTTAAATATTTGTATGCATTTTTTAAAAATATGTTTTTATTGATTTCAGAGAGGAAGGAAGAGGGAGAGAGAGATAGAAACATCTATGATGAGAGAGAATCATGGATCGGCTGCCTCCTGCAAGTCCCCCACTGGGGATCAAGCCCACAACCTGGACATGTGCCCTTGACCAGAATCGAACCTGAGACCTTTCAGTTTGCAGGCTCTATCCATTGAGCAAAACCGGCTAGGGCTGGATTTTTTTTTTAGACAGTGAGGAAGGGAGAGGGAGAGAGAAACATTGATGAGAGAAATATTGATAGGCTGCCCCCTGCATGCCCACTAATGGGGATCAAGCCTGCAACCTGGATGGGAATCGAACTGGCAATCAAATGGGATGATGCCCAACCAACTGAGCCACACCAGCCGGGGCAAGCCCATCCCCCTTTTCTTTTCTTTTCTTTTTTAATATATTTTATTGATTTTTTTTTTACAGAGAGGAAGGGAGAGGGATAGAGAGTTAGAAACATCAATGAGAGAGAAACATCGATCAGCTGCCTCCTGCACGCCTCCTATTGGGGATGTGCCCGCAACCAAGGTACATGCCCTTGACTGAAATCGAACCTGGGACCCATCAGTCCCCAGGCCGATGCTCTATCCACTGAGCTAAACCGGTTAGGGCCATCCCCCTTTTCAATCACTGCACAATGAACTGGGAATTGCACCAAGACAAATGGAAACAACTTTCAGTGTGATGAGAGGGCAAAGGCAGAGGCCAGACTTCTCCAGGACAAGGTGAGTGCTGTGGACAGAGCATTGAGGAGGGAGCTGGGTGGGTTGGCCATTCATCTTTCCTCCAACTGTCCCCAGCTAAGACAGGTTAGGACAGGTTCGTATAATTTTATTTTTCATATTTGTATGGCAGTGGTGGCTACCTGGGATGCTGTGACCTCCTGAAGCTTGGCATTTCTGTTGAGGAATTAAGTAGCTGTTTGGAGTGGCCAAAGCAGGAATTCAGATTGAACTGAAGTCAAAACACAGTCTTGCCTACATCTGACCCTTGGGTCCTCGCTCCTGTTTAACAGACAGCACACCCAGGCACTCTCCTGTTTTGTTTTTATTTTGTTTGTTTTTCTGGAAACTGCCATGTGTTTGCCCACATTCAGTGATGCTCTGACATGACTTAAAGCATGTCTGATGCACGATCAGGCTTGTACCAGACTCTGAGGGTTCAAAGATGCACTAGAAGAAGGTCCTGGTCTCAAGGAGCTGTGGGTCTGATGTGAAATCCTGCAGACACTGAGGGCTCGGCTCTGAGAAGCCAGGTGCCCAGGGGGTTTCCAGGGCTGAGTCCCCGGCTCCCCTCAGAAAGTCCTTCCTGACACATCTTGATGAATTTCTCACTAGAGAAGGTGATTTTTCCTCCTTGTTCTCATAGGAAATCAGAGGAGGAGGAAGCTGTTGGGGCCACTTACTGTGAGAGGCTGGATGACCTCCTTCAGCGATCAGACTTTGTGATGTTGGCCATGAGCCTGACACCCCAAACCCAGCGGCTGATCGGGAGGAGGGAGCTGAGGCTGATGAAACCTACGGCCATCCTCGTCAACATCGGCAGAGGTACCGGCCTGCTGTCTGTGTGGCTAGGAAACCATGCAGGAGGAAAGCCCCCGGCTGGACTCTCAGCATTTCTAGTCAACCTTTTCCCTGAGTGGCTGAAAAACCCACTTAGACTGGTGGGGTGGTGAGCTTCTATTTAGAAATATTTCTGATTTTTGTCTTCACATCTTTTTGAACCTCAAATTAGTATTAAAAAAAAATGAGAACACAGCAGTATGGGAGTTTCCAAATCTAAGTTCAGGCATCTACTTGGGGTGGGGACATCACAGTTTGATCTTCTAGGTGTAATTAAGCAAAATGTAGGAGGATGAATTTTCTGAGCCTTCACTTTAAGAAAGTAATTTAGTGCTAGTTTAGTTATTTGACATTTTTGTGGTGCTGTATGTGTTTGTAGCCAGTTATAGGTCACACTTGTGGTGTTTAGTTTTTTAGTGTGAATATAAAACGGGTATCTGGGGACTGTTTGGGGAGGTGGTGTGGTGAAATGAGCCAGTTGGTATCGAGGAGACTTGGCTTCCTTGCCTGTCAAATGAGTATGGACTCTGCGGGTTATTGGAGGGTTTGGTGCAACTCTGTCAGTGTGGGCTTAGCACACTGCATGGCCCCTGGTAGGCTCACAATGTCCAACAGGGAATCAGCAGAATGAAGTTCACGGTCTCTTTGTCAGACCTTGGACAGGGTCAGGATGCATGTGGCATAGCAGCTAATGTGACCAGCGTGTCTTTCCTGAGCACTGGCTCACTGTGGTCATCGGAGAGGACTTGTGTCGTTAACTCAGGCCTGTTAGTCGATCAGGATGCCCTGGTGGAAGCTCTTCAGACTGGAGTCATTGGAGCAGCAGCACTGGATGTGTCGTACCCAGAGCCCCTGCCCAGGTAAGGAAGCCAGACAGTAATCTAGAGTCCTTTCCAAATGGAGAGGTGGGGTCCTCAGACAATCACCGCTCTGGCTTTTGAAGCTGTGTTGTCACGGAACTGTAGGGTCTTGGCTGGAGGGGCCTACCGGCCTCTGGGGACCTGTCCAGTTCTGCAGATGGTCTGGCCCCTGCTTCCACACCTCCAACGATCCAGGCGGTTAGGACTACAGCCCTGATTCTGTCATTTATTTTGAAACTTGATGCTGTTAGTCTTTAAGCTCACATTGATTCCTCCAACTTTGATATCTATCCACTAAGCAAATTCCTATCAGCTGAATGGCATTATAGAGGTTCTGAAAAGGTGGTCTTGACACCCTTCTAGGGGGGAAGTCAAAACTATATTCGTAATACTGTCAAACGTGATTTACTTTCCACTTATATTTTTCACAAGTGTACTATTGACACATGGATATGTAATGACACTCTGACAGCTAACGGAATGTGTGCTTCTGTATTATTGTATGTATTAATGTTTTCCAGTTTTAACTTATAATACAGTAAATGTTGATAGGCCCCACATAAACAAATGTTCTTTGGGGTTTTCAATTTCTAAGAGTGCAAAGAGATCCTGAGAACAAATGTTTAAGCACCACTAATCCAGAACAATAAGTAATTCCAATATAAATTAAGAAGCATGAACATTTTAGATAGTTGTCCACTCAGAAACCTAGAAGTCATGTGATCACCCCTACTGTCTAGTCTGCTAAAATGAGATTTTTATTAGATTCACTAACAAGTCACAGGGCAACTACCAGGGTTATATCCCAAAGTTCAATTTATTCCAATAGGTGGTGCTCCCAGCGTCCCATGTGGAATGATTTTTGTGGCTACGAGATTCAGCAATTATTTTATGAATAATTTAATCTTTACACATCCATATTAATTTCTAATTTCTATATTATCTTTATAAGACAGACTTGAGGTTTCATCTTGATTTTGGGGGGGGGAGACATTTTGTTGTTGCTTACTGTAAAAAAAGGATTTTTAGGATTATTTAATCATACTGCATAAGTATTCTTTGCCTTACACAGGATTTACTACAAGATTATTTTTAAAAGAAAAAATTCATTCACCAATAGTGTAAAGAGCCCCCTAGATTATCTTCAGGCTTAATGATTTGGTAGAAAGACTCACAGAACTCAGAAACTCTTTTATAGTCACACTTACAGTTTATTACAGTGAAAGGATACAGATTAAAATCAGCAAAAGTAACCAGTGTATCAGGTGGAGTCCAGGAGAAAGGAGGCGTGAGCTTCCAGTTGTCCTCTCTCAGTGGAGTTGTATGGATAGTAATTACTCCAGCAATGGTGTTTGACATCACACCCAAGCCTCAGTGTCAAGGGGTCACATAGGCATGGAGTGCCCACATGTCTGACATTTGTGACTTAGTCTCCAGCCTCTCCAGAGGTTACAATGACATAGAGTTGGCCGGGATACCAAGTGAGCAAAAACAGGCATTCACCACAAATACCATTGTTAGCATAAACTATCTTGCTGTGCTCCAGGTCCCAAGGATAAGGTGACACTCATATAGGCAGTATATCTCAAGCGTTCAGAAGGTTATCTCCCAGGAGCCTATCTTTGGAGTGTGCAGGTTTGAGCACTCTAAGCCTGCTTGCTGAGTTAATCCTTTACTACATGGGCCATTCCCTGATCCTTGACCTAGGCTGTCTTACAGCAAAATGATCACATTTATTGAAGCATCTACATTTATTATAGTTTTTATATGACAGATACAGCCAGAGTATCAGTATGACTATGCCTAACATTTGGAAGAGCCAGTTTGGGGCAGGGATAGATTTAAGCAACAACTAACCCATCCTATAAAGCCATTACATGCATTTTTGTATTTTTGTAGTAGTTTGTTTGCCCATTGATCTATCACTATTTGTAACTTATGATGAACTTATGCGGTACTATTAGTGAATAAATTAGCTGCTATTTAGCTAAATCTAGTTTTTCTTTGGGCCAGTCATTTCCCATTGGTATCATATTCTGAGGGGGCTTTAACTCAATCTCCCAATACAATTGATCAATAATATCAGTATTATCATATGACTTATTTGCATGAGGTAGTTAAATTCTATCAACAATGCTAGTGTTACACCATATCACAATATGGTTATGGTATAATTCAATTTCATCACATAACAAATCAATAACAATTACAGAGGTATTTTCTATGCTTTCTCAACAAAATTGGCTCTGGCCTCACCCTGGCTTGTGTGACTCAGTGGTAGAGCATCGGCTCATGCACTGAAGGGTTGTGGGTTTGATTCCCAGTTAAGGGCACGTAACCTGGGTTGCAGGCTTGACCCCCAGCTTTAGTTGGGGCACATGTAGGAGGTAACCAATCAATGTGTCTCTCTCACATTGATGTTTCTCTCTCTCTCTCTCTCTCCCCCTCCCTCTGTTCCACTCTCTCTAAAACCCAATAGAAAAAAATACACCCTCGGATGAGGATTAGCAAAACAAACAAAAAATTGGCTCTGGCCTGCACCCCAGATATTATTATGGACAGGTGTTACAATTGGTCATGAGTCAGTTATCTCTGGGTTCCAAATCAGTTAGGACCGTGGTCTGCAAACTGTGGCTCTCGAGCCACATGCGGCTCTTTGGCCCCTTGAGTGTGGCTCTTCCTAAGCCTTAGGAGTACCCTAATTAAGTTAATAACAATGTACCTACCTATATAGTTTAAGTTTAAAAAAATTGGCTCTCAAAAGAAATTTCAATCGTTGTACTGTTGATATTTGGCTCTGTTGACTAATGAGTTTGCCGACCACTGAGTTAGGACAAAGACAGTCACTCTGTGTTTTCTAACATGTGCTGTCAGATAGCAGGGCCCACCGCCTGCCTGTGGGGAGGACACGTGTTTTCAGAAGAGTTCTTATCCCTGCCAGCTATACTTCAGGATATGCCTTCAGTGGGTCAGTCCTGGGGACTGGGGCAGTCATTGTGACAAGTGCCCCCAAAGAACTTCCGTAGGTTTGGGGGTCCATAGAGCCCAAGTGTGTGCCCCTTGAACCTCAATAGCTTGGATGGTCACATGGCTACTATGGCCTCTGTCTATTAAAATAGTCAGGAGTCACTGGTGGGTCAGGTTACAGCCCTTTCCCGATGCTGGGTTCTAGTGCTATCCATCGTTATGTTTAGCTTGCCTGACCCACTTCACTAAAAACCTCATCTTTCCAGGCTGACTCTCATCCTTTGCCTTCTTCCTGGGAGAGAACTCCCTCTAATCTGCTAGTTCCCCTCTGGATGCCACTCCTTATCAAAGGTGCATTCTGCTTGTCCTATGACCCAGGACCAGCACCTGTGACCCTAATGCCCTATTCTGTCTTGTGGGCCCATTGATCTACCACTTAATCCACCATGCATGTTGTGCTGTTATGTGCTAATGGCCTGGATGCAGTTAGAATATGTGTTTTGCACCACAAAATGTAAGGTTCCTCATACTAGGGTTAGATGAATGGTGGTCATACCTAGGTGTAATTTAGAGTATGCTATAAGCCTCCTATAGTCTTCCCCATCTGTATTTCAGAGATCATCCTTTGTTGAAGTTGAAGAATGTCACTCTGACACCTCACATTGGAAGTGCAACTCATCAAGCCAGATGGCAGATGATGGAAAATTTGATTGGAAGTATCCTGGCTTCTCTCAATGGCCTTCCCATTCCTAATGAAGTGCTACTTAAATGATTTATGTGGGCTGAGAATTCAGAGGGATTAAATATGGCTTTCCCATAATATGGCTAATGAGAAAAATATTGTTTTGTGTGTTGTCTTTATGTTCGAGTCCAATACATAGGTTGGTTTACTATCATTTTATCTGAAAAACTTGGAATAGTAACAATACTGATCATCTATTGAGAGCCTGGTAAGTGTCTTAATTGCATTCTCACTTTATCCTCAAGGCAGCATTACGAGGGAAGTTATCATCATTCATAATGAAATTGAGCACAGTTATGTGTTTAACATCCAGAAGTTGCAAATATTTGAATTTGGATTAAAACCCTGGGCTAGGTGTGTGCATTTTCCAGTGGGCTGTTGCTTTCCATTTTGTTAAATTCCCATAGCTTCTTGGATTAGGTAGTCTTCCTCATATTCTAATCACTGTTCATTTGTTTCTTTCAACATTCAAGCAATGACTATTTGTGGTAGGCAGTAGACAGATGTGAGAAGAGCAAGGACGATGGGTCAGGTACAGAAGGTCACTAGGGCGGAAAGCCCTGGATGCCTAGCAAAGGACAACTACAGGGTGGGACCTCCTCCCCAGGGTGACCTTGTCCCAGAGTGACCTTTCCTCCCGAGCATATGGCTGGTCATGGGTTTGGAAACCTGATCTTTCTTCCCTAGAGATAATATAGGCCTTAGTTGTATTTCAGCTCCAGGCCCAGAAAAGCAGCAAAACTAGCTATGGCTGACCTCAGGACCAGCTACATTGACTAATGACCCCCTCTCCTGATGCCGACCAATCAGTGGAGACCCTGACCCAGAAAGGACATGACTGGAAAGCTGTCCAATATTCTATTGAGATCTTCCCCTGGGACCTCCCCTAAGATCTCCACCCTTAAAACCCTTAGAACAGCGGTTCTCAACCTGTGGGTCGAGACCCCTTTGGGGGTTGAACGACCCTTTCACAGGGGTCGCCTAAGACCATCGGAAAACACATATATAATTACATATTGTTTTTGTGATTAATCACTATGCTTTAATTATGTTCAATTTGTAACAATGAAATTGGGGGTCACCACAACATGAGGAACTGTATTAAAGGGTCGCAGCATTAGGAAGGTTGAGAACCACCAGGGAAAAAGAAGAGAGGAGAAGAGCCCTGACTGGTTTGGCTTAGTGGATAGAGCGTCGGCCTTAGGAAGGTTGCATAAACTGAACTCCCAACCGTCTCCTGGTTTGCACGCTTCCAAGAGGTAAAAATTCACCTTGCCGTCTGGCCCCGCCCC